TGGAGGAGCCCGGAGCAGAACAACAGACCCCCCCCCCAGCCACAGTGGGGCCCCAGGGCCCCAGCTAGCTGGTCACCCCTCCTCGCTGTCTCCCTGCCCATGCCCCTTCTCCCCCTTGGCCTCCCCCTCTGCTGAGCTGGCCCTGCTCTTCCCTCGCCACCCCAAGCTTCCAGCTGACAGCAGCCTCTCAGAGCTGCCCTGCGGCTGCCCGTGCTCCCGACCCTCCTCCTCCGGACTGGAGAGTGCTGCGCCTTCTCTCCACCTGATCTGACCCGCGGCCAGACTGGCACCGGCGTGGGCTCTGACTGTCCTCACGCCGCCCAGCGCAGGGCACTGCCAGCAGCTGGCTGCTTGCCCCTCGCCCAGGGTGTGGACCGTGTGCCCCTTGTACAGTGTCTGAGTGGGTGCCTCCCCTGCAGCTGTGCACAGCCGGGAGCTGCCCCTCTGCCCAGGGGCTCAGGCCCGGACCCCTCCCCCACCTGGTGTGTGCAGTGTGAAGTGTGGACGCCTAAAGGAATGTCACTGCATTTCCGGTGTGTGTCGCTTGTTGACAGCAAGTGTGAGGGAAGGCAAGGGGACGAGGGGACATTTCCAGGGCACTGGGCAGTTCAAGACTCCCTGGGAAACTGCAGCCTATTCAGACTTGGGTGGCAGCAGCCTCCGAGGGATTCCCAGGGTCGGAGAGCGGGCCAGGGCCTTCGGGGTCGGGATCCGGCGGTCTTCGTACAGGGCGGGAGGGGGCGCGGCAGTGATGGTGGCGGCAGCGGCAGAGGGTGAGCACGGAGCCCAGGGCCAAGCAGGCGGCCACGCTGGCCAGGAAGGAAACAGGCCCCAGCGCGTAGACCACCGCCAGGTCCAGTGGCGCCATTGGCCGCGCGCAGTGGCTGAAGGCGGCGTCACGGAAGGCCGTCAGTCGTCTGAGCGTCATACGCCCCGGGAACACGCAGAGCAGGGTCTCGGCCTCTGCGGACAGGCGCCCGCGGCACGGTGGCAGGGCTACCCCGCCCGGAACGCCCCAGCCCGCACCCCTGACGGCTCACCTGCCGGGGGCTGCGGGGGCCGGTGCCGCCAAGCAACAAGGAGACC